TCCATGGAGGAACCTAAACATGCCGGGCTTCTGCTTTCCTTAGGTTTAGGTCAGAAATAGGCTTTTTCTCCATTGCCTTTGTCTTTCATTTATGATTTAAACCATATTGAGGGGTGACTGGGAGCTGTCATGGGAGACTCGGGTGCAAACTAGTGACCATTTTATATCCAAAGCCAAAGCGTTGGGCTTGCCCTGGTAGTTAGATGCTTTTAATGACTGACTTAAATTGTTCATCAAATTTCTCACCACTTATCTTCGTGGCCTGGACACTCAGCAAGCCACTTCCTTTAAAATAACATTCCCTTGACACAAAGTCTCAGAGCACCACTTAAAATTTTCCAGCTTATACTTAATTAATCTTTGGATTTCCAGCTGGAGATGCTTAGGTATATATTATGGCCAGCAGACTGGAAAGCCCCAGATATTCAAGAGCTGGATAAATACCTCTTAATAACATAGAACATAAAGTATTTGCTATACCTCTTAGTCCTCCTTCAGCTCATAGGCAGAGGAAGAAACAGGATAAAAATCAGTGCAGTGCTCAGATAGTGCAGTGTTTTAGATCTGATCATCCTTAACACAAATCCCTCTTTACTGCTGGTTTATATAATAATTTCTTCCAATTTTATGGCTGAGTCACAGCCCCCAGCCTGCCTTAATGTAAATGAAACATCAGGCATTAATGTGATGTAACAGTTTTCATCTTGGGAGATGATAAAATATATAATGCACTGTGTGCTATTGGATGATGCTGGATTTGTAGAGAAGGGAACCAAAGCCCCAGAGGCTGGGTCTGTGCTGGAAAGCCTGGCAAGGCTGGTGGAGCTGGTGTCCAGCATCTACTAAACTGCAGAGAGTAAGCGTCCAGTCACGTCCCTGATGTCTGACAGCATGCAGTATTCCCTGTGCACCTGAAAGGTCCTGAACTGGCACTGAGGGAGAAGAAAGCAATTTACTTCCTTAACTGGGGCTGACACTTTGAAGAACCAGAGCTTTCGGTTTGGCAGCAGGCTTGAGGGAGACGGGTTGGCAGACGAAGGGGTATGTGGGAGTAAGGGTTTATGAAGTGAGTGCAATGATTTATCTACTGGTACCACTGGTTGTCAGAGGGCTGTCACATCCCATATCCACCTCTGATGCTGCCTGTGTATTTTTGTATTAGATGCAGATAGCATGCATTTTAGACAGAGTAGAGGTTTACATTCTGGCCTCTTGAAGGACTTTGCATGATACAAGTGTACTTATACCGTGTCTGTCAAATTGTTGCTTTTTAGTTACAAAAGACATAATTTAGGGTGTTTCTGGAGAATTAGGTCTTCTGAGCTCTTTGCACCTGTGTTTCTGTGATCAAGTTTTCAAGATGGAGGAGGAGAAATGGGTGCGATTTTCATTACCAGTTACGTTTATTATTATGCAACTATTATTAGGTAGCAGTTCTTCTCAATTGTAGATACCATTAAAAATCTAGCTTTAAGCTTTAAAAGTAAAATTAAAGAACTAACTGCAACTGAAAGCCTTAAAAATTCAGAAGCTTTCTGAAATACATTGCTTAATTCCAGTGAGGTTCATATGGGGGATACAGTTGGATTGAGATCATATAAAGGATTTCTTAACATGGTTGGGATGACTTGCATATGGATTGCTGTTTGTGAGCAACCAGAGCGTGTTAGAGCATTCTTGGGAAACTCAGACAAGCATAAAGGAAAGTGAAAACTACCGGTGACAATTCGAAACAGATATAAAAAAGTTCTTTAATTGAACAGTCCTGTGATGGCATCACAGTGCAAAATTTGAGGACTCTGCTTAGTCTTTTCCCACATCTTAATGGAAAAAAAAGAGTTATAAAGCTTATTATTTAAGATGACAGCCTGTATATTCCCCTGCTTAACCAGTGCTTACAAATTGGAACAAATCTTCTCCAGTTAAAGACCCTGACAGTGTTAAGAACGGGAGTTTTATGAGTAGTGACAGCAGAATTTGACTTCACTGTTAGATCTGCCTCTACTGTGCCATGTGTTTAGTCTTGCCCAGTTTAATACAGCAAACTCTTCCCTGATTTCAGGATTGCATTTTTTAGCTCTTAGCCAACACAAACACTGTGGTTTATATTTTATGTTTTCATTTTGAGTACTGATGTGACAGAGGTTTCAATTGGATACCATTTGCTGTGATCAGAAGCATGCTTTCAAATATTTTTAAATATTTTATAAACTAGCACTCGAAAGGAAGCAGAACCTAGAAGAAAAATAACTGCTACTTCAGCTTCTTTTCTGTGACTGCTGATGAATTAATGATTATTTTTTACATCCCTTATACCAATAGCAGGCATGAAAGGCTCTAACATTCAGGATACCCAAAAACATTAGCAGAGGGAGGCCAAAGTGGAGTCCTATATTAGTTGTGATGAGCCAGGGCCACTTGCTGGGAGAGGGGTAGTTGTGGGTCATCTGTAAGGGCAGGGAGAAAATGATCTCCTGGGAGCATCCCAGCTCACCTGCAGTCAGGGAGAGCAAGGGACCACTGTCCCAGGGGTGCTCTTTTCCCTACTTGTTGCATTTGGACGGATTAAATGGTCAAACCTGAATGTATGTATGTGTGTGTATAGACAGATGGGGTAGAGGAGAGGGGGAGAAAGGGAGAAATTAAACACATGGTTTATATATTTGGATTTCTATAAAGGTAGAGAAATCAAAGGCTTTTGATTTTGGAATGACAAACTGACTTTAATAGATAAAAAAATAAATGCAGCTGTTCCTCCTAAGCAGGAAAGGGACAGAAAGGTGTGTAAGAGCCCAGTCCACGATAAGCTGTTGATTAACCAGACCAGCTGTTATTTAATCCAAGTTTCTTTTAATTGAGGTGTGGGTTTTTTTAATTGAGGGTTTTCTTTTAATTGAGGTTTTTGGGGGTTTGGGTTTGCCCTGAAAATCAAATGGTTTGGCTTGTTTAAATCAAATGTACTATTTTCCTCATCTTTTTACTTTTAATAGAGTTTCCATTTGACATTGGTTTGGTTTTGTTCAGCTTCAATGTTTCAGAAGGCAAAGCAGTCTGGAGTTAAGTGGTGTGCAGAGCCTGGTTGATCTTCTTCTAACCTCTAAAGCTACCTTCAATGACTATCACATTGGCAGGATAAAGAAAGGTACAGTGCTCCATGGAACCAGTCTTCCTTCTCTATGTGTTGTGCCCTGAAATAATTTCTCTGGTTTTAAGTGGATGCTGAAACAGCAGTTTAAAAATTCTTTGCTTTGATCTGGAATACCTGATTAAAAAGCATGGATTTTTCTGGAGTCCTTCTTTCTATGTTCCTAATATTTTTATTTCATTTACCAGTCAGAATGCCTCTACTTTATTTATCTTTTGTAGTGCATATGTAATAAATATTAGGCCACAGACTAAGACAGAATCTTGAAGTGATTTGGGTAAAAAGAAAAAGAATAGAACAAAGGAAGAGTGGAGGAAAAAACCAATAACATGAGATCAAATGTTATTTATGCTTGTACAGTGTTTATACATATATTTATGAACAAACATCAGCTATAACCCAGCTGTAACTTTGCCCTGTTCTTAGCCAGTTACAAAAGCATCTGTAGTCTGTTCATTGTCAGCTATTTAAGCAGACTCCCGAGATAAGAACGATGACATTTTCAAAAATTTGTTTCCTGTTTTTTAGTGAAGGCTGGTGTCTATCCAATATGTTGCCATAGTCCCTACTGACTCTCAAAGAACAATAATCTGTTCTCCTTATTCCAAGCTGCCCACCCATACAAATGTTACATATGAGACTTGTGTAAAATATGGGCTTATCCTAGCATCCATATAGCTGTACATCAGGAGTCTGTCTGGACCTATAAACTGTGTGTTTATGTGTGTGCAACGTGCTTGCTAGGGCCATGCTGAGTATGGGGCTGGGCAGAAAAGGAGCAGGGAACAACTGATCGTACTGAGCCAGGAGAGGAGGAAGCAGTTCAGGCTGTGCTCATGACCTGAATACCTCTGAAAGTTCAAATTTTTTTCTTTAAACATTACCCTCACATTTCTCTGTAAGTTGTCTCCTAACAGTGAGTATGATATCCATCAGCATTAGCAGTGAGCCAGGGCACTAAAGGTGTTGTCATTTCTTTTTAACATCACATTATTTTGAATGAGTGGTGCTGGATCTTGTAATATCCGTCCTAGATGCGGAGCAGATAAACGGTGCAGTGATTTCCTCACTCACTTACTAATTGGCCTGGGACAGTGGCATTGACATTGCGGTTGCTGACACATGCAGACTGGAAATTAATACACTGAGATTGGTAGCTATGACAGCATATAAAAGTCAGACCATCCAAGCTCTGTTAAATCACTTAATAGAAGTTGAGTGAAAGTATCTAAGAATCATAGAATAGTTTGGGTTGGAAGGGACATTAAGGATCATCTGGAAGAGGTTGCCCAGAGAAGTTGTGGCTGCCCCCTCCTTGGAAGTGTTTGAGGCCAGTTTAGATGGGGCTCTGAGCAACCTGGTGTAGTGGAAGGTGTCCCGTGGCAGGGGTGTTGGAACCAGATGATCTTATAAGGTCCCTTCCAACCCAAACCATTCTGTGATTCTATGATTCTATGATCTAGTTCTAACCCCCTGCATGGGCAGGGACACCTTCCACTGGATCAGCATGAGAAAACCTTGGATTACCTTGTTTAAATTTGTTACTCAATGAAAACATAAATGTTAAAAACCCATGAAGTTATTAACTAAATTAACCAGAATTATTTTAAAGGTAAAATTTACTCAGCTAGATCATCAGCCAATGCAGTCTCCATTTAAATTCATGGAGCTATGCCATCGTACACAGCTTGCGCTCTAGTTCATGATACTGATAAAATTATATATCTTTTTTAAGCATACTGCATTTCGACCATAAGATTTTTTTTGTTGCAGTTACATATACATTTGTCCTATGACTTAAGAACAATAAACCCACATTTTTAATGTATATATAAAAGTTCACATGATAACTTACCATTCTGTAAAGTTTATCCTCCAGATCCTGATTAATTCTTTGTAAGGCTAGGTAATTGTTTTGTATCCTAAAACAAAGATGATACCATGCAATTGAATACATTGGTTTTTGTGTTGTTTTTTTACGTGTAATTTACACATCAGTACAAAACCTTGCCTTGCACTACTTGAAATCTATTTTCTTATCACTCCTGTTGCTGGTCAGTGCTTGCCTTTGAAATGTAATTACCATCTACTTCCTCAGCAAAACTTCTTTAACATGGTTGCTTACTGTATTTAGTGGCAAATTCTGTCGGGAAGTGAAAATATGTTTGCCATTCTGCATTTGTGTGCAGACATGCATCGCGGCATGGGAACTTGCAAAAAAAGATTTTAGCTTTACATCAGGCTCAGGAATTCTATGTCAGAGAGGATGCTTGAGTTGTATTCTTAGAAGTACAGAAAAAGGTTTATGGAGCTCTCAATAAAGAGAATTGCAGCAGAAACTTAATGACTGTAACAGCAGCAACACATGGGCATCACCACATGACTTAGAAGAGAATATTCCTTCTCTTGACAAATGTTCAAGGAATTGCCTGTTCTCAAGAGCTAAATACACCTTTTTTCTTCAGGACATGCATTTAGATAGCTTAGCCTGGAAAAGGTGGGTATTTATTTTTATCAGCAGAGGGATTGAATGGACTCGCAAAATGAGACTTCCCTGCTTATTCCAGGGCAATACACCAAAGAAAAGTTTCAGTCTGTACATCTTTAGGCTGCTTAGATGGTAACCTTGGTATTGTAATGAACATGCTGTGCAGCCTGTGGGAAAAACATCACTATTTTGGTAATATATTTGTACTGGGAATCTTAGGACAATAGGGCGAAATATTTTCAGTGGTGAGTTGATTTTAGGTAGTGGGCAAGTGTGTTTGCTGTAAGAGTGAAGTCAGATGTAATACACATTCATTCGACAGAAAGCCATTTCCTCTGAGAAGCCTGATCTGGATATAATGTCTATGATGATCAGGAAGGTTCTGGGGTTAAAGAAGTCTCTGGCTTATTGTATGGTTAGGAGTGGCTGTTGAAATCAAAATGAAGAGCTGCATTCAAACCATGCCACGGCTGTGAATCGAGGGGTTCAGCCCACCCCTTCCTGGCAGTGAAATGACTCTCCCTGCTTCTGTTGCCATAGAGATTTTCTTTCCAGTTAAATGATCAAAATTCTCCATTTGAGGGGCAAGCCAGCAGCTTGCGGTGCCCCTCATGAGGCATGCAGAGCTCTGGCTGGGGAGCCCAGTAATACCATAACACATGCCACACAGACCTAGGAGGAGTGGTCTGTGCCAAGGACAGCTGCTCTGTGGGCATAAATAATGACATCCCCATGGGTGAAACTCCCTGGGGTACCGAGGGTCAGCCCAGACCTAGGACAGCCATTTCAGATGTGGATTGCGAGCCTGGGGGAAGGTTCAGTGTCAGTATGTTTTGCAGAGCTGCTGAGCAGAGATTTCCTCCCAGTAAGGAGGATCTCTGGTAAACAGTGTTTGCTAAATGGGCTGAAAAATCTGTGAAACGTACTAACCTACAGCTTGGTCATTACTCACCAGTTCTCACAGTGCCGTTGTGTAAATGGTAAAGGTAACTTAAAGGATTGACTGAAGTTTATAGATCTCTGCATTGTCCATGCTCCTGTTAGATGCAACATTTGCTACTAAGCCTCTGTATAGACACTTATTTGTGCAGCTCTAGGTATACTTGGGATTTCACAGTTATTTAGCCAGAGTCAACACAACAGAGAGAAATCTTAGGGTAGCCTGTACCCAGCTTTTCATGGCAAAGGAGAAGGCACAGATGATCTTGGTAAATCAGTGGAAGCAAGGAGGCTTAAACTGGCCTTGCCTGCAAACAGCTACTCAGCAGTAACATAGTTCTGTTTCGCTGGTAAAGCTGTGTGTTGTGGTACAGGGAACAAGGACCTATAAAAATAAGGTAGGGCCTGCTGGCTGAGACCAGAGCTGCCCCAGTATCTTGTCTGTCATGGTCTTCAGTTTTTCTGTGGTAAGGCAAAATAGGACAGGTTAAACACATTTTGCACCAAGGCAGCTTGTGGCTCAAGTAGAGATGGCGTAAAACTGATGTAAACTTTTATCACCTGCTGCCTCCTAAAAGTTTGCACAGGTTCAAAAGCATCTGCGTGAATTCTTGAAAGAAAAGGGGAAAAAAAAAAAATTGGTTCAGGACTTTTCTGGCTCAGGCCTCTCTATACCCTAGTCTGTTCTGCAGTATAGACCTAGGTGGAGAGCTCGAGCGAGACACTGAATGTTCTCTTTCCATATCTTTAAGATCATGAATTACCAGCAGTAATTGTTACTTGGACATCTGGCTTATGATGGTGGCAATGCGTCACTGGGTTTGCTCCTCAGCTTCTGTTGACACAGTTTTTCTCTTGATATGAATGATTGGAAGATTGGTTACCATTAATATAATTGTTCTTGGCTGATGCCTCATACCATAGATGTTAGAGGGGTTTTGCATGAGCCCGTTACAGTCTGCTTCTCTGCTTGTAACTTCTTTTGTCTTTGTCCATCAAATTTTCCTCTGTTGTATGTTTAGGTGAAAGTAGTCCAGAACTCTAGTTCTCAAACACATTGTTTGCACTGAAAAAAATTGACCAGTAAAACCAAATCCAATCTAAACAAAGAAATTCACAGTAAATAGGAAGCTGAGCTTCTAAAAGTGTTTCTATTGAGAACATTATGCAAAGCTAGTCAAAATAAGCACAAACATGTACACACATACACAAGCACACACACATGCACATATACGCATAAAATCCAAATTGGAAATCCACTGTGCCAAAAGAAGTGTCAGCAAATGTGGGTGGCAAGGAGAGAAGTGGACCCAGAAATATATGGAAGAAAGTGTTAAAGGGATAAAAGAGGAACAGGGTAATCAAGTCAGTCTTTGGACAACACTGTAAAATAAAGGAGGAGTAGGGAAAATTATTCCAATTTGAAAGTGATCAGATGAGCAAATGGTAACTTAGCCCTGTTTGCAGAAAAACTACACCCAGATAGCCTGAACCTTGTAAAGTATGAAACTTTTAATGTTGTAAATCTAGCTTCTTTGTAAATAAAATGAACAGTAAGTCAGCTTCACTACCCTGTGAGACGGTTTTAAGAATAAACTCCTGTGAATCAATAACTTATTATAATTTTTGATAGCTTTTCATGTTGTTCGTGTTATTAGGTCATACTCATGTACCTCCAGGTGGCTATATGTGCATGCATTAAATGCATGTTTAGATTCTCAACTAAATTAGGTCTTGATTAAAAGTATTCTGGCCAAATTGAACGTTACATATCTGTGCTCTAACCCAGCAGACAACGCACTCCTCTCTAAAACTGCAGATCACCGCTAAAGAGGAAGTCTGCAAAAGCCTCTGTTTCTCTGCTTCCACTGAGTCTCAAGCCCTCTTAAGGCCATGAAATATATTTAAAGTAAAACACAGCCTTGGGCTGACTTTCTCTAAAGAAGACAGTTTCACCCAGACTGCAGTTTAGCTTTGAAAGGTGACTGTTAAAATAGTAACTTCTTATTCAAAAAAGCTTTTGCTTCTTTGTTATCACAATGTACACGGACTTTTGCACGAAAACAAGAGAGTTTCCCCCCTATTTTATTCCAAAAATAATAGAGCTACAGGGTTCCTGTTCAGAACACCCCTTCAGTCCATGAAATGTCTTGATTTTGGTGAAATAATTGTGTGTGGGGGCTAATCTCAGTGCTAAATATATGCTTGCATGGATTTATTTCTTTTATCTTAAAATAACTCTACTCTCTGACAAAATCTAGAATGGGGGACCTTGCCAAGTTGTTACCCAGGGTAGGGTCTAAAGCAGGAAACTCAGCATGACCTTTGGAGATCAGTTTTGGTTCCAAGATTTGTATTCGAATATTTTTAAAATTTCACTTGAAAAAGTCATGCTGATCTTGTCAGATAGGGGATCATTGTGAGCTACATGAAATCCCCAGTCTCTCTTCAGTCACTTTTCAAAGCCAAATCCATGTTTTACAGTTAATATTTCCAAACCCATTCAGCACTGCCCTGATCTTCCTCCCACTGGGCCCAAGTAAAAAGGCCACCTCTAAAGGCTTGTAGGGAAGTCAAAAACTTGACCGTCAAGCCATGTAAATGACCTCCCTGCTTGGATAAGGGAGGGGAGGCCTAGCACCAACACAGGTGATTCTGGATAAATGAAGACAATAAAGGCTTTCAGAAAGGAGTAGAAAAGAATGGCCGTTCAGCCTCTTGGAAAAATTCTACACTTAACAGTAATGGAAGTTTAATAACAGAAATATTCTCTAGTATGCCAGTGGGATCTTGTTACACAGGGCTTATTTATTAAGGGGATTGAATTTCTTTCCCTGCGTAGTGAATAAAGCAACAGACACATTATTGAAACTAATTCTGGTTCTTTCTTTTTCTCATACTGATTTTCCTCTGTGACATGTTGCTGACACGCTTTTGGATGACAGTTTTGTTTCCAACATTATCCTTCTCCGGGCTGAGAAATCTAGTTGCTCAACTTGTGGTATGCCTTGCTATTCTCAATAGAAACATTTTTGAAGCTCACCTCGTAAAATATTTTGGGCTTCCAATATGATATGTCTTCAGGGGAGTAATCACCTGCCTGAAACATAATTTTGAATATAAATTTTCTCCGTAATATGGTACAATGTTCCATTAGAATATTGGAAAGTCAATTCTGCTCATCTGATGTTTTGTACAAGTGGTAGACTTTGCCATGAGCAAAATAAGACTTTCTGGCCTAGTTTTGAAGGGTGCTTAACATATCAGTGCCCAATGAAGTTGATCAGAGGCTTCCTATGGACCAGGAAGATTCTCTGTTTTAACAGAAGTGGGATGGTCACACCCTCTGCTAAATGTGATGCAGGATTTATGGCAGCCGTGCCTGAAATAATGTTTCAGAAGAAAATTGTAGCAATGTTCCCTGTCTTTAAAGCTGAAATATACTGCAACAAAACTACATCAAGAGCAAAGTTACTTTCAATAGCTCTGCTCTAAGTGAAGCGATTGATGGGAAAAATGTTGTTGACCAGAAAACAACAAGGAGAACTTTCAGACTGATCCTGGTAGATGTGTGTAGATTTCAATATCATCATGATACCTGCTTATTTTGGCCTTGTTTTAAGAAGCCTCCCCAGTTAGGGAAACATCTAAGTTATAAAACCACACTAGGATGTTTCCTAATGCAAGGTCTCACAGCCTCATTCTGTTTAAAATTTGCATAAAATGGTTTCATTGTCTCTGTTTGTTGGTTGTTTCTGGGTTTGTTTGTTTTTTGGTGTTTTTTTTTTTTTTTTAGTTTTTGCCTTCTGCAACGAATGAAAACTATTTCTTTGGGTATAGCCCTGGAATGATTCATTCTGAATTTAGTTTTGACTCATCCAATGAACTAAATCAAACAGTTCAATTATCCACATCATTTTAGGAAAGTCCTCATAAGAAATGCAAATACATTCCTGCATAAATGGATAATTGTAGGTTCAGAAGTTTTGTAAACAAATGAAAAAATGGATATTAAGAATCACTGATAAATTTAAAGCTAGATTAGAGACCATTTTAATCAGTGCCAGGAATGTCAGGAATGAATGCTTATTATAATTTGTCATTAACATTAACTGGGCCCTGGATTTGCCATAGCACTGTACCACAGCTTCAAAAATTTTAAATAATAGGTTTTCAGTATCATTCCATTCTACTTGGGACTAAAAAGCAAAACATTTGCTATAGCACAATGTGAAATGTCATACTATTATATGAGTTGAACACAGCCTCAGCTTTGAGTGATGGAGGGCCAAATTCCATTCTCTTGTATCAGTGCTATGGAGAGTAACAACAGAAAATATACAGCCAAACTAATTAAAAAATAATTTATCTGTATATATACACTATAAGTACATATATGTAGCATGTTTATAACCTTTGTATGTATAACACAATGTGGCACTAATCCACATGTATATTTACACACATAAACAATGTCTTATATGCACCTACATAGGTTTATTTCTATTTTCATATTTACTTTCAGTAGAGACATCTTGCATATCACAGGTAAATAACTTCATGTGGTATGTAATATATATTCAGATATATTAAATATATATATTCAATGTGAAAACACACTATGTAATCAATACATAATGAATGTTATATATTTGTGGCTATATGCTTATATTTTTACTTACATGTGTCTTTAACACAGCCACTTGTAAATTCCTAATAACTCTGCTTATTTAAAAAAGTTAGTTACTAACCTTCTCAGTTTTTCAGTTACTTTTTCAAGTTCCTCCTGAGCACGTCTTAATTCTATTTCAAGATACTGACGTGTAGAATCAAATTCCGTTTCAAGCATTTCCAGCTTATGGGTAGTGTAAGATAGACGCTTTCGTAATTCCCCCTTCTGTTCTTGCAAAGTACTAGAAAAACAAAGACCACAGCTGTAGAATTTAGCTGCTCCCAAAAAGCTTTTCATGATCCACCCTTTGACCAATTCCCTAAAGTATAGGTTGGCATTAAGCCAGAGAAGTGTGCTTAAAAATTTGTTTACTGCACATTGAAAATCTTCTGATTTAGACGGTTAACAATTTTCCCATCTGTCCTTTCTAGCACATTTGTTGCTAATATCTGATTAGTTATAATGGAATATTTTGTGAAAAGAACCTCATTAAATACAAAATACAGTCTGGAGTTTGGTTTCACACAGGACATTTCTTTTAGAGTTATCTTAACATACTATAGCTGAAGTAGCATATATCAATAGAGCGGCAACTCTAAATAAACTGTGCAAAAATATTTCCTTTTCAATGATCCAAGCTACAATACATTTTGTGGAGAAAGAAAATTTTGTGTTATTTGATTCAATTTCCACCCAATCTGTGGCCATAGAGCTGATAGAGATATCACTGTGCAGCACTTAATCCAGAGAATGATAATCAATTAATGGTATAGGAATTTTAAAGTTATGGTTCTTTCTCCATTTTCCCACTTATTTGGGAACAAAACTTCACAGACTTAGGTATGACCCCCTAATTTTTCACAGTTCTTTCACTAATAAAGAACTTAACTCCCTGCTTGTAAGCTAGCTTCAGTTACTCTCTTTGACAAAACATAGCACTAGGCACAGAATTTGGAGACAGGAAGTTTTTAGCTTTGTCGTATCCTCTTTATTTTAGAGATGACATAAGAGAGCATAAAACCAGAAGATCCAAGCAAAATTTTTATCATGAAGGTCCAAGAGCCATCTGCACCCAAATAGTCCATCTGGATTTGCAGTGATGAACCTGGGGACTCTTCCCTGGCTTTACTGGAGCTCTAGCATGTAACTTCAGGTGAGCCAGTCTGCTCCTGCTTCAATTTTTATCTGCACAGTTGAGATCTTTTATCTTTGTCTATTTAGTTTGTAAGCTCCTCAGTCTTCTAGCATGTTTGCCAGTTGCACAGAAGGATGGGGTTCCAGTCAAAGCTGGTGTCTCTGGAGGTGGCTGTAACTTGGTTCAGATACTGCAGCCTCAGTATTGAGCTGATCTCTTGGCTTCAGGCAGGAGCTCTGAGGCACTACAGAACTGGAGTCTGCATTCACCTAGAGACAAAAGCGCTACCATGTTATGTGTTGTGAATTGCCTTGCTTGTTTTCAAAAATACAATAAAAATACTTCTTCATACAAGAATGGCAGATCTTGATTCCCTTTGATGTCAAGTAAGTACTACCATCAGCTTCAGTAGGATAATGTTTTGGGTCTTTAATTAGACAAGAGAGTTGGGAACAACATGCCATTCTTCAACACTTATCTGAGCTGGCTTCAGTGTGACTGCCTTCTCCTCTGCAAGCTGCGATAGGAGCTTCAGTGAGCTAATGTAAAAGCTTTGCAATTGCGGCTTCTTGATCCATGCAGCTTAGAACTAGGAAACAGTCTAATGTTTTGCCAACATTGTGCTCTATTTCAATTACACATATTGCGTGGTTACAGTTATACTTAGATTACCACTTGTAGCTACATTCTCTTAAAATAATATATTCTAATTCAGACATTTAATGCAGCTCCAGTTAATGCAATCACTTAGTTTTTATATTTCATTTGGTGACTAAAACCCCCAGATTATCTAGGGAAATGAGAAGCTGGACCCATGCTGCTTATTTCTGCATGTCCTCATTCATGATGTTACCACATCATACTGCCTTTCACTTGCTCCTGGCCTGTGTTCTTGCTACTCATCTGCTCATCTTGGGAAAGGAGAGTGGTCAGTTTTCCTTCCTGCAGCCCAGCAACTTGGAGTGAACAGAGATTTGATCTCAAGTCGTCTGCTCCTCTACAAATCTAACCACAAGGAATTGTACAAAAAGCAGACAGGAGGTCCTCCAGCTATGGTGTTGGATAAAAACACCCACACTGCTGCTTTATGTTGGGAAAGTGCAGTTAATGCAAGTTAAGCCAGATCAGAGGAGGTTACAACACCTGGCTGCACTGGGGAGTTTTGGCCAATGGCAAAGTTTAACCTCTGGGAGGGAGGGGCTGTAGGTCTACAAATATAGTGGGAATGACAGGGATGTTTAAGTCAGTAATAGTGGGAGATTGCTTAACAAAACAGGAAAAAGAGGAAAGTCAATGGCCTTCAATAACTTTGTCGCTCAGGGTTTTTTTTTTTCCTTTCAAGTTCAATTTGAAGTACTTGTATTCTTGAATTCTTTGCTTTCAGAATGGGATTATTCATTTCGTTAAAATCAAGCCTATTCTAACGAGCCTTACCAAAACAGTCTACAAACATGCATTTTTTCACGTAACACTTTAGGTAGTAAAGCATAGCTCTAACTTCGTAAAAAATAAGAAAAAAAAAAAAGGTGGTTAAGGCATAAGTTAGGCAACTTTAAATACCAAAGTTATTCTCGTTCAGCAAACCATAATTCTGAAAAAGCTCCACTCCTTTCCACTCAAGCTGAAAGATCCTGAAATCCTCCTAAACATAGCAGACCTCCTGCTCAGAGTATACTTTGATTCATCTGATACACTCAAAATGGGCTGGCTGTTTTTAAGAGGACTTATGATTTTTAGACAGGAACAATAACACCTGGTTTATGATGGGATTATTTAAGATGTAGTAGTAGGTGCATAACAGTGAGTCACTATTAAAATACAAATTATTAGACAGAAGAGTGAAAATTTTAGAAAGAAAGAAATCATGTTCTGACAAGAATATGCTGAATGGTAGGAAACTTACAGCCAATTTTATGGGAAAAAAATAAATAAAAAGAGAGAAAGAAAGAAAAGACCCCAAGTTGGAAAATACTTAGCTATCTACTTTGATATCCTTATTGAGCCAAGCAAGTTCTGAAAAGATAGCTAACTTTAAGCAATGACACAATGAAAATCATGCTTATGATTGGCACAAATAGGGAAAGTTTCCTGAATCTGGGACTGAAACCATTGAATGGTACTAACAGCTGTAACAGAGCAGATTTCCCAGGATTCCCAGGGCAATGTCAATTTCTGCATGACTTGAGCCTTATCTAGATACATTACTGGTTTAAGGTAAAGCCTCTTATTTTCTCTTTCTTATGGTTATATATGAACAAACACTTAAGAAGCAAAGACAAGGCAGGTGAAACAGTAGAAAGAACATGCAATGTGTCAAATATAGTATCTCTAATAGCAGGATCACAGCCTCAGTGTTTGTTTTATACAAATCTGAGGTATTTCATGAGCTTTTTATTTCTTTGCATTTCTCACGAATCAGATATTCTTCCTCTGAAAAACCTTCTTACTGTTAGCTTCCAGTGGTATCACATCATACCATGCCTGAATTCTTTTTCCTTATGCTCTGTGGTATACTTGTTCTAGAAGTCTTGTCCTAGAAGGCTTTTCATAAGGAGTGCTTAATTTTCTTGTGGTAGTGGTAACTTAGACAAGGTTGAAAAGAGGGAAAAAACAAAGAGTCAAAATTTGGAGACATGAAGTCAAGCATTTAGCATTTTCTCTTTTCTCCAAAACAACCAAGTCCACACAATAGCTGCATTTTATTTCTGTTTGTCACATACCAGTTTATTACAAAAGTTCACCGCACAATTTTTTTTGGTATTGGTAAATCAATATATTTTATTGCATAATTTATCTTCTGTGGCTAGTTGGCCTATTATGTATATAATAAAGAATATATATATATATATTCAACAAATACTTTTTTATATACTTATGTTTGGTTTTTAGTTAAAAACTAAGAAAATAATTCAATGGAAAAAGTACAGCCAGGAGAAAGGAGAGGACTTATTTGCAAATAAAAAATAGTCTTGGGTAATCTGGTAGTAGTATGTCTTAGAAAACACCAATCCTATACTCCATGGGTTTCCTGAACCTCTGACAGCTGGGAGGAATTGCAGGATGGTATCCAAAATCCTCTAGAGTAGGACCTTTTGCATAACTGTTCTCTATTTCTTCTAATGATCTCTAAAGTCCTGCTCCTGTGACAACCAGTGGTTTGCAAGTCATTACCCATTTTGCTTCATTAAATTATTTCTCTAAAAGCAAGGACAGTAAGTACAATATTAAATATTTAGACCAGTGAAAAAAAAGGTCTCAAGGGAAAGGTTATTAAAAACAGGTCTTAAGACTTTCCAAAGTGTTATATTCACCAATTAGCTCTGTTTATAATTGTTGAAAATATAATATAGATATGAAAACATATATTGGCACAGAAATTTTGTGCCCACAAATGTTGTAGTGTTGCCAGTAATTGCCAAGGTTGAATTCTGGAGTTGCTCCTTGCTGCTGACTTTGGAGGTCTCTTCCCTCCGCCGGTGCTTCTACAGAGAGATGCCAGGCCTCACTGTTGAATCCTGTTGCTGGAGCTGATCCTCAGCAGCAATTCAGAGGCCATTCAGGGTAGATATTACCAGGTGGGAGTTAGCACTACTCAGGTTCTACGTTTAGTGAAAAGAGGTCTATTTTACATGAGAAAGATGAGAAGGCTGTGGCGACAAGTTCAAGTACCACCAAATACTCCTGGTGTTTTCCTGGCGTTAAAACTTTGCCATCCCAGCTTGCACAAGAGTTCAAGTTTGCATTCCTGGTGTCACCTCTCCATCTCCAATGGAACTCTGTCCACAAAGGGTGGTGAGTGCTCAAAATCAATTTTTTTTTTTCTAGATGTTCCTGTCAGCCTGTACGTTAAGCTGAGCATTGGTGCTGCTCTGCACTGCTTCAGCCCCAGGGTAGAGTGCACACGCTGACGAGCAGAAAGGAGATAGACAACATGTGCCTATCTTAGCCTGCAGCCGTCAGTCAGGATTCATCTGTAGTGCTGGCTGGAGAAGCTCCAGGTGAACATATTTCCACCAGAGCATTTCAGGCAGAGCTAAGATGTTGTGTGGTGATGGCTCTGTTCTGAGGAAGGTGTGCTAGAAAACAAGCAGGTTTTCATTGTACCT